GAGTCCAGAAGACCTGCGTCTCCTATCAGGCATCCCACCAGCGGTGGTCCCTCTCTGAGCTTATCACTGGGTGCGAGTGAGGCATGGTACCAACGCCAGGCTGTGCACTACAGCCCAGGGAGAGGGAGTAGAACGGGAAGGGGTCCCCTGATCCTAGTTTCTAAGGGATGAGGCCCTAGGTAGGCCGTCCCCAAACGCCCTCATCTCCCCCAGCGCTGGGCTCCTCACACCTATTCCACAGCCTTGTCTCTCCCTCTCCTGTCCGCCCCCTGCCCCCACCAGTGTGGCCTTGACCATGGCCTGCTATCTTCTCCAATCTGATCTGGCTCTCTTCCAGCACCAGCACGGGCCTGGCCCAGGGTGGGCGCTCAGGCAAAGAGGAGGCCCCGGGGCGCAGGCCGCGTTCAGGTCATGGCGGTGGGAGGTGGGCAGGGGACGCGGCACCCTTCCGACCACGGCGTGAGACGCGCCCCTCACTGGAGTGGGCCGAGGGTGGGACAGAGCGGGCAGCGGACTCACCTGCTGCGGCTGCAAAAGCTTCGGACTCAGCGAGGCCTGGCCTGGTGGGGCTCGCGGCGCCGATCACCACGGCAACCGGCGCCACGAGGGACCCGCGGCGTCTGACGAATCCTGGACGTCGGGGGCGGGGTCTGGGCGGGGTTCACAGCGGCGAGAGTTCACGCGCGGCCTGCTCGAGCGATCACCATAGCAACCAAAGCCTCGCGGGAGCAGCTGCCGCCTGGCAAGGCGGCCGCCGGTGCGCTGCCCTGGCCGGCTATCATCACGGCAACGAGGGCGGGCCCGGATAGGTGGGCTCTGGGTGTGGCCAGGGCGGCCGGGGGTGGAGCCTGGGCTCCAGGGGCGGGGTCTGGGCGGGGCTGACCGTGGAGAGACTCGCATCCCGGATCTGCATGGCTGGGAGAGTTGGTGGCTCAAACTGGTAGGGATTATGCGAAGTGTTTAAGTATTTATTTTCATAATATATTAAATATTATTTTTTCTGGTTATCTAAATATTTCGTGTTTTTCTTTATATATTGGTATGGAGGGATCTTGAAGGTCCCTTGACTCCCTTGTCTCACATCCCATATGAGATCTATGAGTAAATCCTGTAGGTTCTACCGTGAAAATGTATCCAGTATCCTCTCTCTCCCTCCCACTTCCACTGGTGTCACCCTGGTCTAAGCATCATCCTCTCTCCCCTTGACTGGCCTCCCTGCTTCCACCCTTGCCCCTATCCTAGTCCTAGCTCAGCAGCCCCAGAGATCCTCCTGTTGAAACACAGATCAGATCACGTCAGTCCTCGGCTCCAAACGCTCCAGTGCCTCCTCATCTCTCTGAAATTAATAAAGTCTTTATTTTTATTTATTTGTTTTTTTGTGAGGAAGATTTGCCCTGAGCTAACATCTGTGCCAATCTTCCTCTGTTTTGTATGTGGGATGCCTCCACAGCATGGCTGATAAGTGGAGTGGGTCCGTGCCTGGGATCCGAACCCATGAACCTGGGCCACTGAAGCGGAGCGTGAGGAACTTTAACCACTCAGCCATGGGGCTGGCCCTAATAAAGTCTTTAAATGGCCCAAGAGGCCCCACATTATTTGCCTCAGCTCCATTTCCTCTCTTATCTCATCTCCTACTTACCCCCACCCCATCCCACACATGCTCCACCGGCCTCCTTGCTGTTCCTCCAACACTCCAGGCACTGGGGTGTTTGCACTGGCTGTTCCCTAGGCCTGGAATACTTTTCCCCCAGATATCCACATTGCTTCCCTCCCTCACCTTCTTCAAGTTTGCTCAGCTGTCACCTCAAGATGAGGCCTTCCCTAATCACCCTATTTACAATTGCAGCATTCTCCCCACCCCTTATTCTGCTCTATTTCTCCCAGGCACTCTCTATTTCCTAACATATTATATAACTTATCCTTTATGTTGCTTGTCCAGCTGCCTCCACTAAGAGCACTGAAAGCAGGGGATTTTGTGTTTGGTTCATCAATGTAGTGCACCGGCCCAACAGTGGTATGTGCAGGCACTTAGTAAACGTTAAGTGAGTAAACAAATATTAAATTTTAAAAAAGGCAGAGAACAGTGTTTGAAGTATGCTGCCACAACATTAAAAAGTAAATAAATTGTATTTACTTGTTTAAGTCTAGCTTATCTTTGGAAAGATACCAGTGGTTTCCACAAGTGAGGACAACCCATTGGCTGGGGACCAAGGAGGGAGGGAGACATTTTACTTTCATGCTTTTTGGATTTTCCTCTATGTGTTTTCCTCTCTCTATATTGCCTATTTGATAAATAACTCAAATGAAAATAAACAATTTGGAACACAGAGAATACAATAACATCCCCCATAGCTGGTTCTTCCAGGTCAGCCCTGATGTGTTTCGGTGTGCTTCCCTCCTTCGAGCCTTTCCCACAGACACCTCCTCCTCTGAGCAATCATGACATTAGAGCTCTTGCTGTGGCATTGGCCTTTAATTGGAGTCCAGCACCTGCAGCGGCAAGGAATGGACAGGCCTACCATTTAGTGACCTTGATCTGCATAGTTCTGAATCTAATGATGCCTGAATATCATGTCCCTGGCTTCTAGAGCTCATTCTACAAAATTAATTTCCATAATTAATGGCTGTTTAAAAGCTGACCTGAGTCACTGAGCTCTTGAAAGCTAGTTTCTGTTTGGAGATGAGGCATGCAGGGCTAGACGGCCTCCAGAGGCACTTGTAAGAGGGTGTAATCATGAAATTGTAATCGTGAAAATGACCGTAGTTAGCTTTGGAGAGGAGGATGGGGTATGGGATAGGGAAAGAAGATGCAGGCATCAACAATGTCCTGGTGGTGAATTCACAGGTGGTTATTATATTTTGATGTTTCACAAATTGACAAAATGCTACATATAATGTTATGCGTATATTTAAAAAGATAAAAATGAGATTGAAAAATAATAAAATTGAAAGGCAATTTAAAAAAAAAAAAAAAAGACTGTGTAATCAGATTCTGAGAGGCCCAGGCTTCCCAGCTTTAAGAATCTACTTGATTTAGGGCCAGCCCCGTGGCTTAGCGGTTAAGTGCGCGCGCTCTGCTGCTGGCGGCCCAGGTTTGGATCCCGGGCGTGCACCAATGCACCACTTCTCGGGCCATGGTGAGGCCACGTCCCACACATAGCAACTAGAAGGATGTGCAACTATGACATACAACTATCTACTGGGGCTTTGGGGGAAAAAATAAATAAATAAAATTATTAAAAATAAAAAAAGAATCTACTTGATTCAGCTCCCTGATTTCACAGACAAGGAAACTAAGGCTCACACAGGCAAAAGGATTTGCCTAGTGAGCTAGAACTAGAATTGGAACCCAGATTTCCTGACTCCCAGCCCAGCGCTCTCCACACCAGCTTCCTAAAAACGCTAGGATGCTCTGGGTTAGAGAGACCCTTCATGACTTGGTCCTTTGAAGGACAGCAGTAGGCAGTAGGGGGCAGATCTCCACGTCACAATATGTGATCCTTTGCACACAGATCTAAGTCACTTATCTTCAGTTCAAAGCTAAAGTGCTGGAGGCTGAGGCTTGGTGTCTTTGTTAGCGAGTTTCACTGCTAAGGGCTCAGGCCTAAGTTGCCTGAGTTGCTCTACCTCCTCCTGTGCCTCAGTTTACCCAGCTATAAAATGGACCTGAATATCTACCTTGAGGGTTTGTTGTGAGGATCACACAAGATGCTGAAACTGCTTGATTCAAGTCCATTAACCACTCATTTGCTCTACACTTGCTGAAAGTGTCCCGGTATATTCCTAGCACTGGGGGTGTAAACAAGACTGACATGGCCTCTACCCTCGGGGAAGCTGGAGTCTGCAGGGGGAAACAGAGAAGTAAACAGAGAATTAGGGGAGGGAAGTGTGCCAATGGGTAATTAAGGTATGGGATCACATACTAATTTGGAGTTGGAGAGAAGATAGGCTTCATGGAGGAAGTGTCCACCAAGTTGTTATAGGCAGCCCAGGCTGCAGGAAAGAGTTGGCCATTTGGGGGATTAAGAGAGAGTCCAGCATAGCTGGAAGAGGCCATCACCCAGTCCTTGAGTGGCAGGCTGGGACTTTGGAGTTTGTCCTGAGACCAGTGGGGAGCCGTGGGAGGGCTTCATGCAGGTGGTGGCTGGGTCTGGCTTGTTTTCAAGAACAATTGCTCCTGCCAGCAGTGTGTTGGGTCCACTGCAGGGGCCAATCGTGTCATTACCAACCAGTCAGCCTGCAGAGGAAGGAGCATAGGCCAGGGTTACGCAGTCCTGGGATCAGGCCTGTATGATTTGGGGTTAGCTATTGAATCTCTTTGAGGTTCCTGTCCGTAAACTGGATGTTATAACCTCACGGGTTTACTCTAAGGATTAAGGCCATGCAAAGTGATCAGTACAGAGAAAGGCGTACGTAGTCACTTCCCTTCCCTTCTTTTCTGTACCGTGAACAAAGCTGAGCCTTTGTTCCTGACAGTGACCCTGTAAACTACTATTGTCGCCACTTTACAGCCAGCCCCAGCCCGGGGCTGTTCGCGCCTGCGCAGTGGGCGCCGAGTGTACGGAGGGCGGTGCTGCGGACGCCGTCGGCGTCGCCTGGCAACCGCGTCGCCTGGCAACGGGCGTGCGCTACCAAGACCGCGCGCTGGGAGGCAGGTGAGCAGGCTGCGGCCCGACAGGGGCCCGGGAACAGGGGCCCCCAGACCCACCCATTCCAGCTCAAACGGGGCCCGCGGCCTCACACCCCAAGGCTCTGTCATCCGCGGCCGGACTCCCGCGGGCCACGCCTCTTAGAGGAGGGCAGGACCCTGTCCCCAGCACCCATCGCTCCCTGCGAGGGAAGCCCAGGTCGAAATGGCCGCGTCTGTCCCAGCCCGGCCCCCGCTCCACCTTCCCTTGTCACCTGGTGCCCGGAATCAGAGTCCAGCTTACCTCTTTTAGTGGAGTAGATTCCTACAGGGCTGGGGCCTGTCAGTACCACTAAACGTGGTAACAACCACCAGCGCCGCCATGATAATAACCAGAGCCAACATACCCGGAGTCCTGGCGTGCCAGGCTCATGACTGTAAGTTAATATGGCAACTCTGGGAGGAGGGGAAGGAGATGCTACTATCATCTCCCTTTTGTAGCTACAGAAAGACACAGAGGAAGTAACTTGTCAAAAGCCACCCATGGCCTGTCTGTGGAGCCAGTTCTTAACTACTAAGCCACACTGCCTGTAGTTGCTCATAGTGTGTGTTTGTGTGGAATCAAAATAAATCACGCTTTAACCTTAGTTCCTTTTTTGTGGATATGTCAGAAGCATCTGAGTATGGGTCCCTGGTAGGTAAATGAGCTAGATCCAGATTTGAACATTTGCTCCTAGCTGTACCAGTTCTGTGACCTCCAGCAAGCTCCTTGCCCCTGAGTTTCAACTTCTTCCTTTGTAAAATGTGGATAATACAAGTCCCCTACTCCTGGGGTAGTTGAGTTAGCTACTAGGTATTGCTGGCACAAGATAAGCACTAAATGTAGTGACCATGTTAGTGTCTGCTTGTTTGGTTTGTTTTGTCTCTTCGGTGCCTTTGACCCACGGCCCAGCCTGTAAAGTATGACTAGTTTCTTCTGTCGTTAAACGTGGGAGAACTCTGGAGTTTGCAGTTTGGGCTGCTACTTACCTTTGTTGTGACTTTGAGCAAATGTCTTCATTGCTCTCAGCCTCAGTTTGCTCATCTGTAAAATGGAAGTAAAAATATCCAACTGCTGCCCTTACATTTTTCAGGATCAAATGAGAAATAACTCCCAAATCACAATAGTAATAACGACAACTTTTTGGGTTCTTTTAATCAGTTGTTTCTGCAGAGCTTTGTTTTGAAAGCTAGAGAGTCGCCCTCTGCAGGTGTGGAAGATGGCCCATGCCCGCATCTCCATGTACCTGCCCCCTGACATCAACCCTGCCCAGGCTGCCATTGCCTACGGCTGTCGGGCCCTGCCCAAGCTGAACGAGGAGCTGCAGTCTGAGGACCTGCTGACGAGGCAGAAAGCCCTCAGGGCTCTGTGTGACCTGATGCATGACCCCGAGCATGTCTACGTGGCCATCGACATAGGTGAGAGTGTCACAGTCCAGGTGACCATGACTGGGGTCTGGATGGACAGATAGAGAGTGGCTCAAGGTGGGAGGAGCTGAGGGGCCCCTTCACAGCATCCCTCCCAGCTGGTCAGTCAGTCCTTGCCCGGACACTACCAGCAGCCCATCCAGAGCCACGAATCAGCTTGCTCTGCTATGGCTCATCCAGGTGACCACAAATCCACTAAACAGCCCTGTTTATCTGTGTCATTCACGAGGCTGTCACAAAAAATAGGCACGTGCCCTACTGAAACCACACATAAATCTGGGACCTGTGTCCCTTGTTTCCCACTCTCCTAAGTACCAAAATAAGAATTGAGGTGACTTTAGTGGCATGGTCATACTCTTCCCAGATCAGGCACACAATGAGTGAACTGCTGCTTCTCCCCGCAGCCTTATCTGAAGAGCTGGCTTAATTCTAGAGGCGGTGGTGGACCTAGCATGGCCTTGGACACCGAGTGGAGCTTCATTAATAAGGGTTGCCATGTAATGAGCCTGACTCCGGGCCAGCACCACTCCACCTGCAGAGCCCGTGTTGTCTCAGTCCTCATAGCACCGGCCCTGGGAGGAAGGAGCATCCTCACCCCACAGATAAGAAAACTGAGGCTCAGAGAGTGGGTGTGAGACTAGGGTTGCCTGATAAATAAATAAAGCAGGACTTTTATTGGCTCAATCTGGCATCCTGAGGTGTAACGCATTCAAGCGTACATGACTAGTTGGGGACAGGGTTGGAATTTGACCCCCGGTCTCTCCAAATGCAAAGTCCATTTTCTTAACCCCATCTGGACTGCAAGAGAAGACACTGGTAGGAAGCGTGCAGGGGGGTTAGATGAAAAAGTCCCTGGGTGGGAGCCTTTCTAGCACCCAGAGCCCCCTTTGGTGACTCTGCAATACTTCGTAACCAACACGAATTCTGAGCAGCAGAATCTCGGGTGCTCTCCTGTTCCCCGATATTGGCCCACCTGTTGACTTCTAGGTTAGTTGACTTCTGAGACTGGCAAACGTTCACAAGTTTTTCTGCCACAGGCTGCCTGGAGAGCCTGAAAGCTTTGCTGAAGGACAGCAATGATGTGGTGCGGATCCAGGCCACCGAGGTTCTCTACATCATGGCGACCCATAACGTGGGCAGGTGGGCAGCTATCTCTGGAAACCAATGTCACATTTTGGAGCCACACCCCAACCCTGAGTGGCACGCCCTTGAATGACCTTGAGTGCTCTGTAGCACAGTTCTTCAGCAGGACTTCTATTTGGCCAGAACAGGTCTCTGTGGGGCGGTTTTGGTTGCATCTGTGGGGCCTAATGGGGCTTCTGTTCCAGACCAGTTGTTATGTTAGTTCTCAGCTCTGAGCTTCATCCTTTGAAGGTGGAAAGAAAGTTCAGGCCCTGCACCAGCAACAATTTAGCCTTTTCTTGGCTCTTTATGGGGAGCCCAGTTCCCTCTCTCAGACCCCGACAGGGCTTGCGGCTTTGGCTTCTGTTGCCGTACAGTCGTCAAGACACCAGCCTCAAAGTGTACACCTGGTCTGGGGTGGTGGCTTCAACCCCTGCTCACCATGCTGAGGTTCTTCTAGGTTTCTCACACTGGAAATATCCCTTTCTTGTGTAAGCACAGATTTGCATCTTACACTTAAATAATAGTTCATCCAGCATTTTGGTTAGCAGTCAGTTTGTGTGTATGTGAGGGGGTGGAGGTGCTTTCCATCAGCTCAGTTCACCCTCTTGACCTGGGATCACTAGTTTTACTTTGTATTGAAAACAGATCCAGAAATCACAAACAGCCCCCAAGCCCTGCCCAGGGACCACTGTTCAGTGTGCACATGCCCAGAAGAAGGCGGGAGGAAGAGTGTTAATAATAGTGATGATGGAGAACACGAGGGGTGGGGTGCTCACTGTCTGTGGGCTTGTGTGGTGTAAACAATAGACACCCCTTCAGATACTTTCAGCGGTGTCAGGGCAGCTCACAGAACCCCAGGTCGCTTGGTCCTGCCTCTCCCCAAGCTCTCGGTGCCTCACTCGAGGGGAAGGGAGTTAAGTGAGTTAGTGCACGTGAAGTGCTCAGCCTGGAGACACTTCGGAAACGTCCACCCCACGTGGGCCTGGGTGGCCTCTCCCTGGGGACTGCTGCCTCCCTCTCCCCATGGACTGTCTCTGTAAACTCACATACCGCTTGCTCAGGGCCTTCTCCTAATGGCCGCCTCAGTCCCTCGGTCCCCTTGACCTCCCAGCTCTCTGTCTCCTTTCTGGGTTCTACTTCCAGGTCCCTGGAAGGGGATGTGCCAGCCTGATCCCACGTGCAGCCCTGGCCCAACGGGTTGCTATGAACGGGATGTGTGTGCGGAGGCAGGGCCACAGTGAGCACCTAATTCACACGCTTTGCACCAGGAAGGGCAGACGGGTGGGTGGGGGCATGAGCCCTGGCCTGGGGGGTCCTGCCCTTTCCTGCTCTGTGCCTTGGCAAGGCTCTTGGTCAGTCTCACTGTGCTTATCTGAGAGAGACCCAGGGAAGATGCTTGAATACCTTAGGGGCACAGAGGAGCGAAGCCTCTCTCATTCTTCTTGCTCCTTTTTTCTCTTTCTGGACCTGATATGGACATTAGGTAGTGACCCCCAATGAGGTGTGACAGACACTGAGAGGAGAGATGCTTGAAGCTCCAGCAACTCTAAGGAAACTACAAGCCTCGTGAGGGTGACTGTAGGTTTAGCAACACTAGGAGGTCTGCACGGGGGTAGGGGGCTCCTGGCTGTGGCCATCTTAGCAGATGAGGGACTCCATGAAGAATCCATCACTGACCGAGGACCTGATATGGCCTGGCCCACACACTCCTTCGGTGTTCTCCGTCACCCCTCAGACTGACCAGAGCGAGGCAACTTGTGTGCCCAGGGCCCAGGATTCTAAGTCCCCAGCTCGCTCCACCACTCCGTGCTGGGTGAAGAATGCAAAGGGCCAAAAGTAACCCGGGCCGACTTCTGAAGTTCGCCCGGGTCCAGTGGTGATCTTACAACTAAAGCCACTTGCTTGCAGAGCCCGTCAAGCTCTGAATAATTAGCCGTGTTGAAACCTTCTGCCCTCTTGTCCCCGCACAAGTAGTGACAGGAAGGGGGATGAGGGCGGAAGCCCGGGGCTTGGCGTCTTGTCACCTTGAGGAGATAGTTCACATGATGGCCCACAAACAGAGCCAATCTACAAAGCAGGAGTGACGCGGAGTGGGCGACCGGGTGCCGACCGGAGAGGCCCAGGCGCCTCACACTTGGTGGTCAGGGGTGGTGATTGTCTTCTCCCAGAGTGACTCAGAACTCGCCAGAAGGTTAAGTCCTGGCCAACACGGCAGAGCACAGTTGGTTGGGCACTTCCTGTATGCCGGGCACTGGGCAGGGGCCTCACCCTGGGCTCTCACTTCTGCCGGACCCCAGCCCTGAGAGATGTGACCTCGGAAGCCCTCTCACCAGAAGTGATGGGCCCAACAGTTAGTTCGTTAATCAAAAGAAATAGTTAAAAAGCCAGGAATCGAAGAAATTGTATATTCCCTTTAAACGGTTCATTTTAACCCCAAACACAAATGTTGAGGCAGTCACCAATCCCTGTGTGCCACCCAGGCCTTTTCTTGGATATGGGCCCACTCGTTGGCATTTCCTGTCATCATTTTTTGCTTAAACCACAGCTATAACATCATCTAATTTGCAGCTTTGGTTTCTTTAAAGTAGAGTAAGAACTCAAAGACATTAATGAAGTAATCTGCATGCAAAAACCTAGACTCTTTTACAATCATCTCACTTTTGTTTTTAGAGACTCATTTTTCAGTCTTCCCAAAGCATTCAACTTTGTTTTCTAAGGAAATTAAAAAAAAAAAAAACTCTTCTCATTTAATTGGCATACCTAATATTTAATTAACTTATATAATTATAACAACAAGCATAACAGGCATACATAGGTTTGCAGGCAAGCAGCTGGCTGCTGGCAAGCCTGCAACTCAGCTGGGAGAAGAGGGAAGGGCTGTGGGGGGCCTGCGAGCTCCCTGCCCTGGAGCATCCGTGGGTGTGTGTGAAGGATGGGGAGGTTGGGTACCAGTTTCTGCTGCCTCATCCTCACTTTACAGACGATAGGACTGGGGTTCAGAAGAATGAAAGGAAGGATCCAGGGGCACAAAGAGCCCAAGTTGGAGTCCTGTCTAGGAAGGGGCAGAGCTGTGTGATTCCACCACACAAGCCACTGCTCTCCCGACCTCGAGGGATTCCGTGACGTGTTATTGCCTCTGGCCTGTGTCTTCTCTCAGGAAGCGAGAGGAATGTGGTCTGCACCAGCCAGCACGGGCTGACTCCACGGCAGGGTGCGGGTGGCCAGCAGCCTCTTGTTCTTAGGGGATCCTCTCGGGCATGCTCTCAGTGTGTCTAAATCCAACTTCTCTTCCCCAGAGAAGGCTTTTTGGAGCATGATATCATCCTTGCCCTGTCCTTCCTGCTGAACGACCCGCAGCCCGCCTGCCGGCAGAACCTGCACCTGGCATACAAACACCTGGCCCAGCTGCCTTCAGGTAGGCTCGCGTTGGGCGCTCGGGCGGCCCCTTGGTCTCTGTCCAGGTCAGGTGTGTGCCATGCTGCATATCATGGTCTACAGCACAGTTTTAAAAAGTTATGTTTTTATTAAGGTACAACATACTTGTGAAAAAGGCACAAATCATACATGAAAGTTTGAGTAAATTGTACTAAGTGAACATGGCGCGGAACCACTACCCAGATTGAGAAATATGTAGTTTCGCCAGCACTCTGGAAACTTCCCACTTGCCCCATTCCAGTGACCACCCTCACCACAGGTAAACTCTGCAATTTAAGACTGTAGACTAGTTTATGCCTCTTTCTAAACTTTACATAAGTGGAAACATGCCTTCTGTAATATTTTGTTCCCGGCTTCTTGTGCTTCTCACTGCCTCCACGTATGTCATGCATTGCTGATTTTTGCGGATTTGCGCTGAAGTGTGGCATTCACATTATATGAGTTCACTACAGCTTATGTATCTACCCTGTTGCCGAGGGACATCTGAGTTGTTTCTAGTGTGTGGCTACCAAGAATAGAGTGGCTGTGAACATTCTTACAAATACCTTTCAGTGGACATGCGTGTGTGTGTCTTTTGAGATATATTGAGGGGGAGAATTGCTGGGCATAGGATACATTTACCTCCAGCTTTAGAAGGTACTACAAACGGTTCCCTAAGATAGTATGCCAACTTACACTGCCCCAGTAGTGGATGAGTGTTCCAGGCGCTCCGTGTCCTCACCCACATGTGATCTTCCTGTCCTTTTATTTTAGCTATTTTGGTGGGTGTGTGGTAGCATCTCATTTTGGTTTTAATTTGTATTTACCTGGTGATGATGGCCCTGTACATGTCCTCTTTGGTGAAGTGCCATAGCACGTTTTTAAGGATTAAAGAAGGCCTGTCCCAAAGGCCACTCCACCCTCTGGCTCAGTGTCCCTGCTCCCCCTAATTAGACGTGGACTCCAGGTAACGGCCACCGGCTGACCACAGCTAGAGGGCTGAGATTTGTGTCAGATTGACAGCCGGCCTGTCACGTGATGCAATGAGCATTTTTAAATTAGGGGCTCATTCCAAGAGGCAAGATATCAGGCCTTAACGGGGATGCCTTCAGTTAAAGGTGGACAAACGGACATCATGGCCCAGGAACCAGACAGACCTGGGTTCCCTCTGTCCTGCCCCTCGTCCCCTGTGTGCCCCTGGACAGGCTATTTCCTCATTTCTAAAGCAAGGCTGAAAGTACCTGCCTCAGAGGTCTGAAGTGAGGGCCAAGTTCTTGGTGAGAAGATGCTCGCAAAGCATGTAGCACAGCCCTACATGAAGTGCGCCGTCGACGTTCAGGGCCAGGTGTGAGCACGCCCCCAAATTAAGGGCCCGGAGTTCAGCGCCAGGTGTGAGCAGCCCTGAATTAAGGGCCCAGAGTTCAGGGCCAGGTGTGAGCACTTCCCAAATTAAGGTCCTAGAGTTCAGGGCTAGGTGTGAGCACTCCCCGAGTTAAGGTCCCAGAGTTCAGGGCTAGGTGTGAGCACTCCC